TGCTGGCACGAGACCGTGGCGCCAAGTCCTCTCTCCGACATCTGAAGGTTCCCTGGGGAGTTTCCTTCTTGAAGTCATTTCTCCAACGTCGTGCCACTGTCGCGCGACGGGATGTCTTCCTGCAGGTGGCAGCCAACTTTATCCGGGACACAAGATCTCCTCGGGTCCACGATTTATTGAAGATGTTTCTCCGGCGCCATGACACTCTTGCATGGCAGGACACCTTCCTGCTGACGACGGCCAATTTATTCTGGGGTCCACAATTTTTCCGTGTCGGATTCTTCATATTTCGTCGATGACGGTCCCTGCGCCTTTATTCTTCGGTTCTCCGACCGGCATTACTTTGGCATCTTGTACGGGTACCACTCGTAGTTCTGCCGCCTCAGGTTTCCTGTTCACTGAAGTCGGCTCTTCTTCTTCTGGACGTGCCTCCATTTCTTGGCAGGACATCGTCACTCCGACCGGTATCACCATGGGAACCTCTTCTTGTTGTGCCGTCGCAGGTATCATGTCCACTGGGCAGGCCAACGTCTCTTCCTGCCAGGCATTGAAGTTGGCGTCTAATTTCGTCAGCATGTTATTTGTTTTTTCTTGACTGAATTCTAATTTCGCCAGGAAATCTTCTGTCTTTTTTTCGGTTGGCTTCCATTTCTTCCCTGTCGGCCATTATCTCTTTCAGCATCTCCATTATTCGTTGCAAATCCTGTTTCTCCATTTTGTAACCGTAGAATAGTTGAAGCAGTCGTACGTTTAATTATTCTTTGAGGCGTATTTAAGCTCGTAAAAATTCTGACACCAAATTGTCACGTATCTTGAGTTCGAATCTCGTTGGTCACGTGTGTAAGTTCAAATCCCACTTCTGACATCAGTTGTCGCGTATTGGGCGTATATCGCGACAACTAACTTCATGATGTATTTGATGTAGCGAATTTTATTTCACATTCGCACTTACAATCACACAATTGACAGTTTTAGAATTACTGCTATCTGCAGTATCACAAGTATTACATTCCAAATGCCACAATACAACTGACTAGTTGCTGGCTAACTCAGAACTAACTCGGAGGTAGCTCGAGGACTCACTCGGCGGTAGCTCCAGGACTGACTGACTGTGAATAGCCTTCGCTGCTCCTTATGTAGCCTTGATCGGACAATTGTCGTCTGGTGCCGTGTTGCTAGCCACGCTTTCCGGAGTTGTTGACTGCTGCCTAGCAACCGCGATATCCCTCGGTGATGTCACTGCTGTTGATTCGCTTTGCATAGCTTCAAGGTCGCGGGGACTCGGCTAACGTCGGCTCCGCTCGGCTCACTTCGGCTCCGCTCGTGACGTCACCGCGCGTTGCATAACTACCAGGATGCGGGGTGATTACTCGCCTATTACACGAGCGCTACGTTACGCTACATGCCGCGGGGGGGGGGATCAACATGTCACAATATATAATAATGAATGAATGCTGTGAGAAATTTCCACTAAAGGGCCTTTTATAAATGCTGCTGGAGTGTATAGCTACTATGGGTTTAAAGCCAGCTTGAGGAGCTAACATTTATTTTCTCTGATATGTTCGTAGTAATATTATGAAATTAATTCATAAACTTATTTTTCTGTGCAGAAATGCTTCTAGCACAAGGTTGTCTTGAAATCAGAACATCTTTACACTGTGGAAATGAAAGCTACTGTTATAAAATAGTACACTAAAAAATTGGTCTACCACAGAAAATTCTTGTTCTTGTCTTGATTCTTGACACTTTTTCAAATTTTCGCCTTAAACTGGAAGAATCATTCTCATATATGAATATTTCTTACTAAAAATATGGGTTAAAATTAAGCCCTGTATATGAGTGTACTGCATGACTTATCAACAGAAAATATGTATATAATAAAAGGTGTTCACCTGTCAGTATTCAGTTTCTGGAAGATTTGTAGTGTGGTGAGAAGAACTTTGTCGACATAATCAACACGGTCTGGGTAGCATTTATGTGCCAGATTCACCAATGATACTTGCAAGGCTACAATGTCCTCAGGTGGCATATCTTGTCGTGACTGGAAAAAACAGTGCAATATACTTAAACTCAATATCACTTCAAATCACATATGGAGTCTTCTTTGCACTGCCTAATTTCTTTCTTGCCATTTCTTCTGTCTCCTCGTACTGCCCTCTCCAGAGGTTGACCAAATTTTCGCCAACAACTGATCTTCTGTACTGCCTGAACACTTCCTCATAACCACTTTGCAGGGACCCCAAAGAAAAGACAGCCTCTATTGTTAAGGAGGTGTATTTACTGATCTGTTGCCTAGCATTAAATTCCCCATTCTTCTGTGCAATGGATCGGGTGGGATTGTGTTTATTGAGTCCTTGCCTAGCGATGGGTATACACGTCACAATATCACTTACACTTGGGGTAAATCAAATCTACAAGAAGACAGACCTATCCCTATACTGCCCCATTTAAATTCAATGCATCCTAGTGCTATCAGGTCAGTTATATCAAATGTCCCATTACAGATTATATTTCAGCATGCTGAAAGTAGGAGATGACAATTTTACTACACTCTGTTTTATTCAGCTAAGCAAAGGGTTTTGTGGCTGCAAGCTGGGTCACATTCTTGTGACGAAAGGAGAGAGAGAATATGACAGGAAGAGAGAGAACCAAAGGAAGAAAAGATATACTGCTGAATTTAAAATTAGACTGGTCTGCCAGTATTACTGAAATGGACAATGACAGGCTCAGTGATTTCAGATGAGTGCCAGAAAAGTAGAACATTGCTAGTTCAGACCTTGCATATCTGGATATAGTTTCATCCAGTAAATTTTGGCCTTTAAACCTTCAATTAACATGTTCCCAAAGGTCTGCAGTTCTGAATGATGGCCTAGGAGTCCAATGAAAACAAAGTAAGTTGTCTTGATTACTGCAGATAAATGATAGGTCAAGTATTCTACTGCAGTAATTTAATAATAATTAAAATACATTTTTTCAGTCTTGATATTTTCATTTGTTTTGCTGAAATGCACTATTAACAAGTCCTTACTAACCCCTATCACTGAATAAGTTGGCACAGTGGTAATTCTCTAGACTCACATTTAATGGATGTTCAGTTTGAATCTTGGTTTGGACACTCACTATCCTCAGTTCCTCCAGGTAAATGCCAAGATAATGCCTTGTGTAGACCATGAACATTTCCTTCAGAATCTTTCCCATTTCAATATTCATCTATCATCCTACCTAGCCTAGCAATTGAAAGTGTGATAAAATTACCCACAAAGTAACAACGTGACCCTTATCCCCATTTAATTCAGATTAGTGACATTTTAGTGCACCTTGAGCAGGAAGAAATTACTTACTGAAAGATCCTCTACAATTAATCATACATAATGAACATCTTATCTCACTTGGTGGTGGAAGTCCTGTAGATGATACAGCAACATTACACAACATGCGGATAATACAATGTTAACTCAGGAGTGGTACTGATATCCATCGAAAACCGTGATCATGAGCTTGTACTGTGGAACTCGGTAAAATTTACCTGAATAATGGTGGAAACCTGATCAGAAAACACGTCAAAGAGGCGAACATCACTGGGGATGCCAGTAGTCCCCACAGAAGCATCTGCCCTTTGTGAGAAGGTGGCCAGTCTATCAATAAGGGAGATAATGATGTTCTTCACATTCACTCCAAGTTGCAGCTCAGCACAAGATTTCAGAAATGCATGTAATGTTTGCAAGTGGAATTCATCAGGGAATACCTGCAACACAAATAATTTAGGGTAACATAAACACAAAGTCAGAGTGTCAAGCTAATTTTCACATAGAAAATCACTGAGTACTTACACAATGAAATGCATGTGACAGTATACTCCAATTCTATGAACCAGGTGCAACAGTTATGTGAAAATGCTCATAAGAAATAATATGAGTTGCTGTACTTACTGGAGATAACATACCATACTGAATAAATTACTTCACAAATGACATCATAGCAGTGATTTCAATGCACGCATTCAGGGTTGCACTAACTGTAAATTGTGGAAGAGTTTGACAATAACTTGGCAGTGTTTTGGGTGTTGCTTCAATGGAAATGTCACTGACAACAACAGATTCATGAGAAATAATTCTTCACTGTCTTTTTCATCCATTGGGATCAGACTCTGGAATTGAATAACCTTCAGAATGTTCACTGAACAGTATTTCCATTATGTGATTATCACTGTCTCTTCTTAATTGCCATGGCGAATTCATATTTAGAGCACAATACATGGCATGAACAATATTGAGCTATGTAATGTTTGTACCAATGGTATATTATAATTATTACTGAGTTTCTGGACATTATCCACCGTCCTATTTTTTTATTTAAATTTATTCTTATTTAAATAAAGAACAGGATGATGGACAATGTCCAAAGAACTCAATAACTGTTATCACACTACATTGATTATCAAAACAACTAAGGATAATGAAAGGGGAATAATTATACAGTATATGATCAAGACCAAGGAAATATTCATATGCCTGTCATCTATCAATACAATGACTTAACTTCATAATAAAATCATCACTTGAATGTGAAATATTCATTCATGCTGCTATCTGAAAAAAGCTGGATATGAAATCCTGGTTGTGGCAATACTTATGTGACTACCAGTCAGATGTGAGCATGAATGTAATGAACAGGATAACCATACGATGGGGTACCCAAAAGAAACCGAACTAATTTTTTTGTGGGCAGAGCTTTTGTAGTACCGTGTTTTGCCGCTATGAGCGCATAGAGCTAAAATTCCTGAGTCGATAAGCTGACTACCGTTGCTTCAGAAGGTAAGGACTAGTTTCGGCAGAGTTTATAGTGACAACTGCCTTGTGTGATCGTCGTTTTTGCAATGGCCCGAACACATGAAAATGTTGAAAAAATTCGTGAAATCATCAAGGAAGATCGACGACGGACCATTGAAGAAATTGTGGAGCTGTCGGGAGTGACTTGGAGCTCAGTTCAGCGAATTTTGACAGAAGATTTGAGAATGAAAAGGGTGGCTGCGAAATTCGTGCCACGACTGCTGACTGCTGAACAAAAACAAGGTCACGTGGAAGCATGCTGTGCTTTGAAAGAAGAGTCCCGAAATGATCAAAACTTTTTTTCAGCGTTTTGCTGATGTTGCTGAGGTGAAAGAAAAAAAAAACGACGGAGGCGCTGTCAAGCACCTCAAAAGATGAATTTGGACAATGTTTCGAAAAATGGAATAAAAGACTAGACAAGTGTATTAGTGTAAGTGGAGAGTACTTTGAAGGGAATTGAAGGTTTGTGCTTAAAATCTGAATAAATAAGTTAAAAAAAAATAAGTTCGGTTTCTTTTGGGTACCCCCTCGTATATTACTAGGATTATCAAACTGATGACAATGCAATGGGCATAACATGTATTACACAGTACACAGATTAAAAATTAATACATCTTTTTGGTAGAAGCCCAAAAAGAATAGACATGTGGGAAGATCTTAAATGTAGTTGGGGGGATAATACTGAAATGGATCATATATCAGGACAGGGACCAATGGTAGACTCTTCTGAACATAGTAATATGCCCTTTACAAAAGGCAGGAAATTTATTGAATGCAAATTACTATTGAATTCGCAAGAATTCTGCTCTGTGGAATTAGTAATAGATAGCTGGTCAGTTCCATGCTGAACTCCTGACTCCTGAAGCATGGGTGATGCTTCTACAGACTTGCTTATGCACTGCAGATTTCCAACTGGGAACCTACAGCTATCAGAACTCATGCTCACCTGTATAATGCATTCCATCAGGTACTCCTGTGCAATTGCATCCCTGCAGCTTACCGCTTGCTCTAAAATTCCAGGCAACACCAACTGCAAAGAATTTTAGAACTTACACAATGAAAAATTAAATATATAGAGTGGAACTAAAATGTAATATTCACCGATTTAAGGGTTTCCCTCATTTATTATGCAATTTCAATGATCCCAAGCCAATCTAAGTGCTAAATTTCCTTCCTTTAACATTTCAGTGCAAGGTTCAGTAAGATGTAAATCTAAAGTGCATGAAATTGTTACTGAGACATTAGAGATAACAGAGCTTTAGAGAGCAGTGTGTGCAGCACTTACAGACTTAATCCCCTCAAAAGACAATGCAGGCCTGACACACTACTGTATTGCCTCTAGACCAATGTGTTCAGCTTCTGTTCATATTATGGCCATCAAATGGCAGCCATCTTAACATATTGTAACGTGTTTCGTTACAGAATACGCTGTAGAGATCGTTAATTGGTTTATTGAACAATCTACAAATATCGGCTACAATTAATTATCACAATGTTACGGGTTTCCACACTTTACAAACCCTACAACAAAATCTCTTAACACTATCTTCAAGGGTCTTCACGTATTAATAACGCGGGAGCTATACAAGTCCCCCTGAATTACACACTCCAGATATGACTGGTTATCACTGGTTATCGCACACGCGTCTGTAGCTCGTAACTTGCGAACTGAGAACTCGTTGATAATGCACTGACTCTCGCTTGCTGCTCAGCCGGCTTTTATTCCGTTCGCTGTTGCTAGCTGTGACGTGGCATATAGCCTAGCAACACTGTTACCCTTTGGTGACGTCACCGCTGTTGACTCGCTTTGCATAGCTTCAAGGTTGCGGGGACTCGGCTAACGTCGGCTCCGCTCGTGACGTCACCGCGGGGAGAGTGCGGGGTGATGACTCGCCTATTACGTGAGCGCTACGTTACCGCTACGTGCCGCTGGGGAGGTAGGGGTCAACATGTCACAATATCATGCAACAACATACATATAACTGTGAACAGAAAGCACTAGCCCTTTTGCTTAATTTTGTAATCTACAAACAACAATGACAATGCAACGGCTGTGACAGGATGATGCCTCACTTTTATTAATGTTTCTATGATTCTTGTTTTAAAAGTTACAGCACCAATGGCAGTTCCTGTCATGGTTCCTGGAGATCTCGAGTTATTAATTGTGACAAATTTGAAGAAAGTTAAGCTGGATGTAACTGCTGGGGACTTCTCATCACATGGGTTAGAATTTAGCATTGTACTTGCTCTAAGAACACTTATAGGAAGACACAGAAGAATGGAAAAGACTCTGCTACAGGACAATAAACAAGGGCAGAAATATCAATGGATGATGATAATGATATCATAATCTATGTAGTTGATAAGTGTAATTACATAATATAAGAAACAAGAAGTCAAGGGGCTAAAACAGTTGGACAGTTAGATCAATATTGTCACATGTAGGGTGGTAAGCGCGATGAAATGACAGGTTCTAGTTCGGATGATTGGATTTATTAGCACTTCAGTTACACACACTCTCTCTTTAGTTACACTCAAATACAGCGCTACCGCTGATTTACACACTTTTCAGTTCACTGTTGCACACGCACCAGGATTCTGTCTTCCACTAGTTGCCTCCTAGCAATGCGTCTCCACACTATAACTATCACTTCAAATCACTATAAATATTGCACATAAATTCTTCCAATCACACAAATGCAGTGCTGAATGTGCTCAATGAACATTTTGATGACAGAGTTGTCTAATTGTTTTCCTAAATGGTTCAGATACAGGTGGTCCTCGCCACTGTACTCTCCTGATAACCCATGTGTTGATTTTTTATGGGGCTTTCTGAAAGATACAGTTTACAGAAACACAGCTGAAGAACTAAAACAAAAATTCTGGCAGCAGTGAAGAAATTCTAACTGCAGCTCTGCAAAAGTTCTGACATCAGCTGCAGATGGTCATGGAAGCCAATGATCATGGACACCAAATACAGTAATTATATGCAATTAAAACTGGAGTGTCATTTAGAGAGATCCTGTATAACAATGCCACCAAACATTTGGGGCACAAATAGGAATCTTACCTTCTTGTATTTGTCAAGGTTAACTGTTTCCAGTTGAGAAAGTCGAACTAGGTTAGTGCCTACAAGAATACGCAACTCCTCCCGTTCACGTTCACGTCGTTCCCTATCACGTGAGTGTCCCTGGTGTTGCATACGCACCCACAACTTGTTCATCTCCGCGAAGTTCATCAAGATAAAGTCAATGGAATCCCGAACCTGTTTATGTAAAATTAACATCTGTACATAAAACACAGTACATCAGAGTGGTCTTTGAGTGTACAAGAGTACTTCTCAAATTTCCCATGAAGTGGCCTATTAAGAATGTACTTAGAAATTTGATCCTTCATATTATTGTTTAGAATGATATTATACAAATATCACTTTACTGGAGCAGGTGATCTACTCATAAATCCAAACATTTTTTCAGAATCACACCAGGAATCTCACTTCCCTTTGAAAGTAACTGGATCAAGCAAGTGGTCTATTCAGACTGTACTATGAAATCCAAGTTCTCTCAAATCGTCTTCATGCTAATACCATACATCTTAATCCCTTAGAAAGGAATTACACTAGATGGACTACATACAATAATTCATGCTTCTTTCATGGACAACATTTCTACAATAATTTCCTCAAATTTACAACTGGTCACAATAGTTTCCTTCAAGATTTTCAATATTTCATTAAGAGACAAAGTAGAGTTATAAACATTATTATACCGAGCCTTCTGACTCATCCCCTGGCTCAGCAACATCTGGCAACACATTGCGTGTGCACTGCAACAAGTAGTTCCGCAAGAACAAGCCTCGAAGGGGATGCTGAACCCCTCGACACATCTCCACCATGTCCTTCAGCAAGTTGCGCTTCAAGCAAGTGTTTGTCTTGATGTACACCAGCCCCACAGTGATCAGTAGGTACCTGTCAAATCAAAAGGTTGTGAACTTAGTAACCACATGCAGACACTTCATGAAATCAAGCTTTATGTGAGTCTCAAGAACAGGACACAAGAATCATGTTTACTGTGAAACTTCAGATTTTCTTGTGGTACACAAATATCAGGTGTCCAGATGAAAGGTATCCAAAATAAAAAACTTATATCTCAGAAAGTAACTGTTATACACGTATCTGGTTTATGTCATTGGAAAGGAAAACCCTGTTTTTTCCATGCCAGGCTTACGTGCATGCACCGCCACATTTCTGCCACCGTGTTAGGAATCACTTGGACAGAGTGATGGGTGGGAGATAGATCAGCAGAAGTGAATCAATCGCTTGGCCTCCTAAGTCGCTAGATTTAACCCCACTGAATCTTTTCTTGTGGGGTTATGTGAAGAACATTGTCTACCAGGTTAAGATCAAAGTTCTGCAACACCTGAAAGCACACTAAGGGACACTGTGTCTATGGTAACACCCAACATGCTTCAAGTAACGTGGAATGAGGTCGAATATCATCTGGATATTTGTCGTGCCACCAAGGGAGCCCATTTTGAAATTTATTGAGAAAGTTTTATACTCAGAAAAATCTTTGAGTTTCCCTTTGTAGTGGTTTAACCCATAAAATGTGTATAATAAAAGCTTTCTGAGATATAATTATTTTTCTTTGGATATCTTTCATCCGGACATTCTGTATTTAGTGCTTCTGTGAAGACATCCTCATTCTGCTACAAATGGGGGCATGTGGTAGAGTATTTGGATGAGGCTCTATGCTACAAGCTGGAAGATTGTGGGTTCAAGTCCCGATGAGGTCACTGGATTTTTTCAATTGACCTAATCCTTCCAGCCACTCTATGGCTCTGGGGTTGACTCAGCCTCTAACAGAAATGAGTACCAGGAATTTTCTTGGGGGGTAAGCTTGAAGATTGCAGGTTCAAGTCCCGATGATGTCACTATATTTCTTTCAATTGACCTAATCCTTCCAGCCACACTATGGCCCTGGGGTTGACTCAGCCTCTAACAGAAATGAGTACCAGGAATTTTCCTGGGGGGGCAAAGTGTGGCCGGTGCGTAAGGCTGACAACGTTGCTGCCATCTGAGAACCAATTGTCTAGATAATGTGGGAGCCTCAGTGCTTGAGGTGGAATGAAAATAGAACCGGGATGGTTTTCCCCTTTTAATTCATAGACATAAATTATGAAAATAAAATGCCAAAGAAGTAACGGGATGCTTTTAAGCCATTTAGAAAAGAACCGGGATCCCATCCTGCCCCACCTCAAGTCCTGGGCAGCCTCAACATCTCACAACCTTATGGGCCACCATGGACTGTTACAGGACCATGTTTACCTTTTTTACTCTGCTACAAACAAACAGCAACATAACAGAATACCATAACAACTTTCCAAGTACAACTATTTTCCCAAATATATGAAGGGCATTCCATATATAATGCCTCATAATTTTTTGCATTAATATGTAACATCTGAGCTGGATGTTGGTGGTGTCGTAGTAAAGGTTGAATCTTCACGCCAATGTACTGTTAGTTTGGTTGTCATGTGACAGATAGTGACAGCAGAGCAGTCTACCAAAATTGCATCTGACATTGAAGTGCATAAAGAAACATTTCTCATTGCCGAACAAATTGCACCCACTGACATTCATCGACGCTTGCTAAAGGTGTACGGGGACGATACAGTGGATGTCAGCACACTGAGGCAGTGGGCAGTGTGTTTCAAGTGGCGAAAGTGAAGTGCATGACAAGCCACACCCTGGGCTTCCCTGCTCAGGTGCCACTCCTCACAATGAACAGCACCTCGATCAGCTTATCCATACAGATTGGCAGATAATGACCAGGGAACTGTGTGCATGGCTTAATATAAGCTATAATGCATTGGAAACGATGTTGGGGAAGCTGGATTATTGCAAAGTTTGTTCCAGCTGGGTCTCGCGGATGCTTATACAGGACCACAAAACTCATCGAATGGAAGTCTGTCAGGACCTGTTGCACCAGTTTGAGGCTGAAGGTGACAAGTTTCTGGACAGAATAGTTACCGGAGATGAGACGTGGTGTCACCACTATGAGCTGGAATCCATGGAGTGGCGACATCCAGATTCCCCAGATAAAAGAAGTTCAAGACACAGCCACTGGCAGTGAAAGTGACGTGCACAGTCTTTTGGGATAGGCAGGGTGTGATTTTTTGGATTTCTTGGAGTCTGGTGAGACTGTCAGTTCTGAACACTGACGCTGACTAAGCTGAAAGCCCGCATTTCCCAAGTCAGGCCAGAGAAGCAGACAACCTTTCGCTTGCAACACGATAAGGCTAGACCCCATACCAGTTTGGCGACCACCGCGCACACTGCAAAGTTTGGCTCAACTATCCTACCACATCCACCTTATAGCCCCGATTTAGCACCTTCAGACTTCCATCTCTTTGGGCCTATGAAAATGGACTATGTGGGGAACATTTTCCAGACAATGATGCTGTCATTGCAGCTGTAAGAAAGTGGCTAGCCTCTGCTGGCGCAGACTTTTATGAGCCCAGCATACAGGCTATTGTTCACTGCTGGCAAAAGTGCATAATGAAGGGTGGTGATTAAGTTGAAAAATAACTGTAAGTAGTTGAAATCTTGCTCTATTTAACTACATTATTATGCTTTATGTATCTGTTGTAGTTTTCGTTAAAAAAAAAAAAGGAGGCATTATATACGGTATGCTCCTCATATATTTATATACACTTTATATATGGGGGCAAGCTGTAGTGTAGTTGCTTGAGGCACTATGCTACAAGCCAGAAGATCACAGGTTCGATTCCTGATGAGGTCATTGGATATATTTAAATTTACCTAACCCTTCCAGCTGCCCTGTGGCCTTGGGTTGACTCAGCTTCTAACAGAAATGAGTGCCAGGTATCTTCCTGGGGGGTAAGGGCAGCTGGCATATAAGGCTGATGACCTGATCGCCATCTGTGAGCTGATTATCTAGAAGATGTGAGAGCCTCAATGTCTCACAACCCTACAAACCTTCATGGCCTTGTATACAGACTCTCATGGAAGTCCCAGGCCACAGGTGACTTCAATGATTTGGCAAAATAAGGAAAAAACTGTATCTGGAAAAGTTGTTGCAAATCAAGTGTTTCCAGCTTCAAGTTTTGACATTTTTTACTTGGTGTAAGGCATTACAGCACTACACTGTTCACATATCAGTAACAAAAAGAGTTACAGTGATGATGCTAAGGTAACATGATAGCAAAAGAGGGATTTTCTAGCAAAATGGTTTCTAGGGCAGGGGAAAGTGGTAGATATGGCATGAAAGAGGAATAGTGAACAAAACCACTTTATTTCAATGTATTTGTACAGAAACCATGTTACAGTGTGGCAAACTGTAGAAAGTTGTTAAAAGTCCACAAAACCACATGTGTTCGGAACGCCACAAAGGTTTGCACTTTCACTAGAAAAAGGTGTTCAAACTGTGTTTTTCTTGTTGCTCACATACATGTTCTTGGCACTGCATGCCAAAACACACATGTTGCAACATCACTGGGGTACTGGCCGTTCTCTTGGCAGGAATATGGTCAAAGAGTGCAGCAATGTTTCATGGTTATTAATGTACAGCACAGATTTCAAGTGACACCATAGGAAGAAATCTGTTAGTGTGTTTCATGTTGTATCTCTCACCTACATTATTGGTTCCCCACCCTGGAAAATATATACCCCCTTCCCTGACACAACCATAAATATTTTCTACTTATTTATACATATATATAAAGAGTGCAATGCCACAGTGGTTAATCTTAGGTGGGAAAAATTCCAACACTTGAGACTGATAACACATAATTTGTGACAGCATTTCCTTCTTTAGTTTTCTGTATTTTGCCAAATATCCAAGGCCTCACATGGCCTGGAGTTTTCTGGACACCTGTGTATCTTCACAAATAATGCAAAGAATTTCAAGTAAGCTGACCTAAGTTGTTACCAATTATGGTATTTGGTTTACTACAATGACTAAAGTAAACATTTTTTTAATCCAGTCTTCTCAAGGAAATATGCTGTCTCTATCTTCAGGGTTTAAGAGTAAGCCCAACAAGCTGCAAGTTGCATCAGCAGAATATTCCACTGAAATATCAATAAGCTTCTAATAGACTACACATCACATCCCAGAAGCAAATACTCCTCACAATTAATGCCATGCAAACCTGAAGTAAAAGTTAAAGAAAAGAAAATGTATACAACACAAAAAATGTAATCCAAAACTGAATGCAGACATAGCAAATTTTGTGTTTATGAATGTGCTTTATGTTATAATATGAAAAAAAGTTTTAAAAATATGTTACTAGCCAACCAAGCTAGGACATCTTCCTCATCATTAACCATTTCAGTCTTGAATTTTTAAAACAAGTTCATTAAAAATGTCATTCTCTTATTTTAGATTGCAATTATACTTTTCTTGAATATGCTATTAGAACTTTTAATATTTACTTTAGAAACTATGTGAATTTATTTTAAGTTATGCATAAACGAAAATCACAATTTTAGTTAGAAATAATCTCATTTTGTTTTCCTGATTTATAGTTTTGTACATATATATAAGAAGGCAAACGACAAGTCTTTGCCAATATTTTTTTTTTCAGCCACAATAATACACATATAGGGAAATCAAAATACAGGCAGTGTTCTAAGTACCTTTGACTATTTTTCCACATAGTCACCACCCCAGTTCAGGCATTTGTCCCATCACACCACTAGTTTGGGGATGCTGCTGTTGTAGAATTCGGCCGGTTGAGCACAGAACCAACGCTGGACACCGGTTTTCATGTCGTCGTTGGAAATGAACCTCTGGCCTGCCAGGAACTTCTTCAGTGAACCAAACACATGGTAATCACTGGGGGCGAGGTCTGGACTATACAGTGTATGTATGCTCCATAAACTTCCATCCAAATGACTGCAGTTGCGCCCGAGGATTCTCGTGGACGATGTGGTTCTCCTCCATG